TCGGGGGCAGCTAGGTGGTGCAGTGGGTTGAGCAACGGCCCTGAAGTCAGGAGGATGTGAGTTCATATCCGTCCTCAGACCAAACACTTGACACTTACTAGCTGTGTGACCTTGGGCAAGTCACTTGACCCCAATTGCCTAAAAAAAAAAAGTCAAGGTCTCCTGGGGTAGGGGTGATCTTTGTGGTCTTATGGTCACCAACTCCATTTCTATAGAAGGAGGGAGGGAGGGAGGGAGGAAAAAAGGAAGAAGGGAAGAAGAGACAGAGGGAGGGAGGAAGAGAAGAAGAAAGGGGGGAAGGAAGGAGGGAAATAGGGAAGGCAGGAAGGAGGGATCTATTAGCCTACTATGTGCAAGGCACTGTACTAAGCACTTTACAAGTATTTACAAACACTTTACAAATATTATCTCATTTGATCCTCGCAACAACCCTAGGAGGCAAATGTTACGATTATCCCTATTTTACAATTGAGGAAACAGAAGCATAGAGTTTCATTAATTTGTCCAGGGTCATACAACTAGGAAGTTATCTGAGATTGAATTTCAACTCAAATCTTCCTGACATGAGACCCAGAGCTCCAACCACAGTGCTATCTAGCTGTGGAGGAGCTATTGATTTTGAGATTAGTTACAATCTTAAGTTTTTTTATCTTTCTTGAAACACAAAACAGATTGATAGACACTGAAACAAACCACAACACATCAAAAAATACCAAGCAACACTTTTGGCCAGTAGGGAGTCTCTGGAGAGAGAACTAGGGGGTGTGTGAAATTCCAAGTAGTGAGGAACAATTAAATTCTTATTCATGAACTGAACCACTGGCCCTAGGCAATCTGCTCCCCAGATCTGCTGCCCAATGCTAAGAAATAGGGAAGGAGAGCTTACCCCATCACCTGGGCTCATAGGGTTAGGCACAACCTCTCTTGCCAATACCCTAGTGCTGACTGAAATCACGCTGGTCCCAAAGCAGTACGTGATTTAAAGCTGCTCATGGATGGGATTATATTGCCCTAATATAAGACTTACTATATACAACACACATGGTGAGGTAGCCACCAGTACAGACATGAATAGATATGCACAAATAACTCCTCACTGTGTCTGACAGACTTGACCTTTTACTCAAAATCAGAAATCAGAAATCAACAAGACTAGGACAGCTCCCCTTCAAAAGCCTTCCTGCAAGAGTTTAAAAGGTCTCTCACCTCTATAGTTGGCTATGACAGTCTTTCTTTCTTTTTCATTTGAGAATGAGGCTTTTAAAATTTATTATTTTATTTTTTCCCCAATTACATGTAAAAACAGTTTTTAACATTACTTTTTTAAAATTTTGAGTTTTAAATTCTCTCCCTCTCTCCCTCCCTTTCCCCCTCATTGAGAAGGCAAGAAATTTGATATAGGACTCAAGAGTGGGAAACCTGAGGCCTTGAGGCCACATGTGGCTTTCTAGGTCCTTGGGTGTGGTCTTTTGACTGAGTACAAGTTTTACAGAACAAATCCATTTATTAAGGGGATTTGTTTTGTGAAGTTTAGATTCAGTCAAAGGGCTGTACTTGAGGACCTAGAGGACCACATGTGGCCTTGAGGCTGCAGGTTCCCCACCTGTGAATTAGGTTACACATGTGCAGTCTTTTCCGTATTAATTATGTTGTAAAAGAAAACAGAACAAAACAAAACAAAACAAAAAACAAAACAAGAAAAATAAAAAAGTAAAAAAAAAGTATGCCATGATCTGCATCCAGACTCCATCAGTTCTTTCTCTGTAAGTGGATACCATTTTTCATCATAAGTCTTTGGAATTGTCTTGGATCATTGTGTTGCTGAGAATAGCTAGGTCATTCACAATTGATCATCGCACAACATTGCTGTTACCGTGTACAACCAGTTGTGCTCATTTCACTTTGCATCAGTTCCTGTAAGTCTTTCCAGGTTTTTCTGAGATCATCCTGCTCATCATTTCTTGTAGCACAATAGTATTCCATCACTATCATATACCACAATTTGTTCAGTCATTCTCCAAGAGATGGGCATTAATTTCCAATTCATGATAGTCTTTCAAAGAGAAGCAGTCCTGGGCTTCTGCTAGTTTCTATGAGATGTCAGTATCTGAGTCACAACATTATTAAACTGTTGTAAGGAAAAATAATGTAATTTGTGGTTTAGGCTTGTATCTACCAGAAACAATTTTTTTTTAATTTTAAGATTAACCTAATTCCAAGTCATTTCTGACTTAGAGAGAGATGTTCAAACTGGCATGATCCTCTGTGTCCTCTCACATGATTTTCTGCCCCAAGACAATTTGAGATAACACTTAGAGGAATCTTGATCAAGGAAATGACAGTAACATTCTAGAACAGTCGCCACTCAGTTCCTCTTTGGACCACTTCCCTGTAAAATTTCTTGCTTCATGATCAATATCTTAACCTCGAATTTCCAAAAGAGAAAACATTATTCTTAAGTGGGTCATGGGGTCAATCACTTCAGGGGTTAGGGTGGCAATGATTTTATCTAAACAAGAGTTAAGTTTGGTTATTACCCTTATTCCATTTCAAAGGATGGCCTCAACTTTTGTTCTTTCCACTTTCCTAGAGAGAAAAGTCTAGAAAAGGTTTTAGGCCAGAAAATCATATTTTTAAAATATTTCTAGAGAAACTAAAAAGGAGATTTAAAATTTTTTTATTAATTTATTTTGATGTATCAACAATCACTTCCATAAGCTTTTGAGTTTTAAATTTTCTCCCCCTCCCTCCTCACCTCCTTCCTCATCATGGTGTGCAATCTGATATAGGCTCTACGCATACATTCCTATTAAACATATTTTCACATTAGTTATGTTGTAAGGAAGAATTAGAACCAATAGGAGGAATCACCAGAAGAGGAAACAGAACAAAACAGAAGAAAAAAAATAGCAAATAGTATGCTTTGATCTGCATTCAAACTCCATAATTCTTTCTTTGGATGTGGATAATGTTTTCCATCATGAGACTTTTGGAGATGTCTTAGATCCTTGCATTGTTGAGAAGGCTAAGTGTATCAATGTTAGTCATTGCACAATGTGGCTGTTGCTGTGTACAACATTCTCCTGGTTCTGCTCACTTCACTCAGCATCAGTCCACACAAGCCTTTCCAGATTTTTCTGAAGTCTGCCTGCTCATCATTTCTTATAGCACAATAGTATTCCATTACATTCATATACCACAACTTGTTCAGCCACTCCCCAATTGATGGGCATCCCCTCAATTTCCAATTCTTTGCCACCACAAAAAGAGTTGCTATAAATATTTTTGTCCATGTGGGTCCCTTTCCCATTTGTATGACCTCTTTGGGATATAGCCTTACAGGTGCTATTGCTGGGTCAAAGGGTATGCACATTTTTATAGCCCTTTGGGCATAGTGAAAAAGGAGATTTTTTAAAAAAAATATTCTTCACAGCACTAAGCTGTCATATTCCAAGCATTGGTGAACAGGCATATAAAGTCATAAGTCTTCTTCCTGACCCTCTTCCCAATTATTTCCTCCTGAGGATTACTAGGAACATTTTCCACCAACATTCTTCTTTCAATGCCATACTTGATATCCTACATAGTGTAACACTCCTAAATATCAACTGCAGATATCTAAGACCTGTTAGGTTCATATACTATTGCTCATGGGCTCCCATTTTCCTTCTGAGTCTCTACTCCTAGAGAGACAAAAAATCATATATCACAGTAATGCAAAAGGGCATTTGCTTAAAATAGACTCACCAGATAAATGACAAGATAAATACAATAAACAACAGACACTCTCACTATTCATTTCTCAAAAAACTCCTCCCAAACTCAAAATGTGAATAGTTGTGAGTTTATATTGTCTTTGATCTACACTGCTACGTCAGCACAATATGCAATCTTAGCTAATAGTGAAAAGGTATATCGGGGATGTGCCTATTGGATGGCAGCTAGGTGTTAGAGTGGGTAAGGTGCTGGTCCTAATTAGGAAGACCTGAGGTCAAATCTAGCCTTAGACACTTAGTAACTGTGTGATCCTGGGCAAGTCACAGCCTCCATCTGCCTCAGTTTCTTCTTCTGTAAAATGGGGGTTATAATAGCACCTACCTTCCAGGGTTGTTGTGAGGCTCCAAAGAGACGATATTTGTAAAGTGCTTAGCACAGCACCTGGCACACAGTAGGTGCTTTATGTTAGCTATCATCATCATTATTACTATTACTATGATTATTACTATTTACACTGAAGGCACCAGGATTCCATGCCTTGGATACTATTATCTCCTACCCCAGAGCAGTGAGTTCTCAGGTGTGCCACCATTATTTCCTGATACAGAAGGCGCAAAGCTTCGAAGTGTGACCACATCAAAGTTTGAAAGTCTAGTCCTGTCTGGATCCCAGAGACAACTTGATCTCTGTCGCCCCAAACAGGAAGCAATGGAGCCCAGGGAACAGTCCATGGTTCTGGAACAGTTCCCTCTGTTCTTCTGTTCATGCCCACTTGACTCTTTCCAAAGTCCCTGCATCTCATCTGCTGTCACCCAGAAGCCCTTCAAAAACATTTATCACCACAGGTTTCTTTTCTTCCTATTCTGGCTCCCTTTTAGTCACTAGACAGAAGAAAAAAAAATAGCCACCTCACATTTCCTGACCTTATCAGCTGTGAAATGTGTATTTCCCAAGCTATAACAAAATTCCATTATTTGTAAAAAAAAAATTATTTATTTTTAGTTTTCAACATTCACTTCCATAAGATTTTGAGTTTTAAATTTTCTCCCTCCCCCTATCCATCGTGTTATTTTTGTTTGTTTGTTTGTTTTCCCAGGGGAAGCTGACAAAGTCTAGAGGAGGGGCTGATTAAAAGGGTTACCTGGCTGAACCCCTTGCCTCATCCTGGGAAGGGTGGGGACCTTGAACCTGGGCAACAGACTGGAGGTTAGGGGCTGGGAGCTGCGCTCCTACATCATAGCCAGGATCAACCTGGGCAACCGATTTTCCTTCTTCTCCCTTAGCTCCCTGGGTGGGAATCATGGATCTGGGACTCCTGAGACTCATGGATTTGCCCCAGGGCAAGAACAAGGCCCTTCGGGGAAACCGAAGAAGTAGTTTTGTGCCTGCCACCCGACGCCAGCGAGAGTTCATGCCAGAAGAGAAGAAAGACACCACATACTGGGAGAAGAGGCGTAAGAACAATGAGGCGGCCAAGAGATCCCGGGAGAAGCGGCGCTTGAATGACGTGGCAGTGGAAGGCCGGCTGGCTGCTCTCAAGGAGGAGAATGCCTCACTCCGGGCTGAGCTGCTGGCTCTCAAGTTTCACTTTGGTCTGCTGGGCCCTGGCACCCCCCAGGCCCTCCAAGCCTTGCTGTGGAGTTGCCCATGGCCAGCATCCCGAGGCCCTGAGGGAAAACTAGCCCTACCAGATAGAGGCCCCCTCAGGCCATGCAGCCCAGACCCCAAGGAGCTGGTCCTGAGGGATTATGGTAGCTCCCACGAGGTGGTGGGCCTGGGCTCCCCAGGGCTCTCTCATGAGCTATCAGTGCCAGACCCCAAAAGGCCAGACTCAGCTGTCTGCTCCCCAGCTTTCTTCAGCTACCACCTACCAGATGGCCATACCACCCATCTGCCTCTGCTGGAACCTAGCCCTAGGTGGGGGCCATCAGTGCCAACTGGGCAGGGAAAGAGCTCTGGGCACTGGGTCTTGGGCAGCAACGATGGACTCTTGGTGGCAAAGTCTGGTTCTGCGGCACCCTCCTCCGGAACACCCTGCCCCCATCCTGGGGGCAGAGCCAAGACTACAGCTCAATCCTCTCTGCCCCATAAACTTCGGATCAAGTCCAAGGCCCTGGCAGACTGGGAGGACAGTCCTTCCAATTCCTTCTGAGATTCCTTGCCACCATAAGGGACAGAGGAGCAGGATAAGGGAGCTGAGAGCAATGGGCATGGCAGATAGGGAGGAGAAAAAGAGATGAGGAGGCAGAAATCTACATGACTCCTATGGGTGTGCCAGGTTGCCAGAGCAAAAGGAGACCCATCATATTCCGTCTTTCCCCCACGATGCTTCCCTGGGGCACAACAATTCAGCTCCTGCCCCAATACCGAGGCAATTAGTCTCTTTTCATTGAGATCTTCCTAGTAGATGGGCCCCGAGTCCCAACACTGTCCTTGTAACCATTACCCCTCCAAAGGTGCTCTGTCTCATTAGGGTTGGCATCTCCAGGGAGAATCCAAAGTCTTAGGAGAAAAGCATAGTAGAGAAGAAAGAGCACTCATCTGGGAGTTAGCAGAGCCCCAGGTTTAAGTCCCAGCCCCATGTCACATGACCACTTACCTCTCTAAACCTTCATTGCCTTCATCTGTAAAAATGGGGATAATAATACCTGTAATATCTTCCCCCACAGGACTGTGGTAAAATCATTTGGGACAATAAGCACCAAGCATTTTGCAAACTTTATAGAAGGTGTTTGACCTGGGAGTCTGTGAACTTGAAAAAAATATATTTTGATAACTGTGTTTCAATAGAATTTGCATCCTTCGTATTTCCTCTGTACTTCATTTTATACATTCAAAAACCTGACTCTGTGAAGGGAGTCCATAGGCTTCACCAGCCTACCAGAGGGCCTTGGGGCACAAGAAAGGTCAAATACCCATACTGAATAGAATGTCAGCTGCTCTTGTTAGGGATGACTTGGGAGCCCAGAGAAGATCCTGGGCACTGGAGAAGGCCTGGGGTCTGAGAGAGAGCCCACAGAGATCTCCAGAGGAGTGAGGCTGCACCTGCCACCTCCTGGGGACCATGCTGATCTACTCAAGGGAGGGGCTTTTTGGTGACAAATGCCAGATAGCTTACCCACATACCAAACACTGAGTACTTTAGATAATTGTGGAGTGTAGACCCTTCCAACAGTCCTCCTCTCCCTTGGATTTCTCCCCTTTATCCATGCCTAGGGGCAGCTAGGACAGAGTGCTGGGTCTGGAGTCAGGAAGATCTGAGTTCTAGTCCAGTCTCAGACTCTTATTAGCTGTGTGACCCTGGGCAAGTCATTTAGTATCTGTCTGCCTTAGTCTATAAAATGGGGATAATAATAGCATTTCCCTCCCAGGGTTGTTGTGAAGGTCAAATGAGATAATAATGGTAAAACATTTAGCACAATGCTTGGCACCAATATAGTAACATTTGTATAGTAAGAACTATATGAATGTAGTAACATTTGTATAGTAAGAACTATATAAATGTTAGCTGCTCTGCTGCTACCATTATACCCCAGGGAGACATTCCGTTAGCCTCTTGACCTTGCCTTCTTCCCCATCAGAGTAGACCCCTATCTTCTCTAAGAGACTCCTCCCACTCCTTCCTGGGAGTCTGCTAAAGTCTTTCTCATCTTTCTCTGAATCTCCTCAAGCCCCCCTCTTGCAAGAGCCTCTGGGCTCAGATAAGACTTCCCCTGGCCCTTCCCTCAAAATCTCCTTTGAGAACAAAGCTGGCCCGTTGGGAGAATGGGTTGTGTGTGTGTGTTGGGAGGTGAGGTAAGGTCCCCTGGGAGCCACTAACAATGGGTACATAAGGGTTCATCCTGCCTGAGTTTGTTCCTCTTCCCAGGGCTCTGACCTGCCTAGAGGCAGCCTAGGTGACTCAGTGAATAGAGCACTGGGCCTCAAGTCAGGAAAACCTGAGTTCAAATCCAGCCTCAGACACTTGCTAGCTGTGTGACCCTGGGCAAGTCCCTTAATCTCTGTCTGCCTCGGTTTGCCCTCTAGAGAAGCACAACTCCTATAACCAGAGGTGAGGAGACATACCCCCTAGGCTGGGACATTAGGAAGTGGAAGAAAAAGCCAGTACGTAGTCAGTGACTGTGGCCTGTATTCATGGGGGATGGGATGCCTAGAAGCCAGGAGAAAACCATCAACAAAGATATAAAGTCACTGCTGCCTTTCACACCTCCCCCCTGGCCCTGACCAGAGGAGCAGCGGGTCCCTTCTGGCCCTAGACAGAGCCACTGGCTCTGGGCCTGGGAATTGGTCCTTGGAATGTCTTGGGGAGTTCCATGGCCATACTAACCCTCAGAGCCCAGGAGCTGACAAACAGTACCACCCCAGCTCAGGCTCCATGACCTAGGATGACAAATGCACTCCACCTTCCCAGGCTCCCAGCAGGCTTTCGCCCTTCTAGTCCCCCCTTCTTCCTCCCCATCTCCCTTTGGGTCCTTCCTTCTACCTTCCCACTGTCCATTCTTCTCTAGGCCCCTCACTTTCCCCCTCCCGGTCCTTCCTCCTTTCCCCATCTCCCTTCTCTGTATCTCCTTTCCCTTCTGTTAGTGAACAACATTGCTCCCCTAGCAGCATCTCCTGTTGGAAATTAAGAACTAACCCTGAGCCAAATCTAGCCCTAGAGATTCTCCTTGTCCCTAGCCCTGGGTCTGGCCTACTACCTCCATCTTGGATCCTGCCTGTGGCTCTGGGGGCAGTAACACCTCCAGATCCTGCCGCCTGTTCCCCACCCCTGTCTAGGGTAAGGTCTAGTCAATGGACCTTAAGGCAATCAGTCAATAATCCCTTCTTAGGTATCTCCAATTCCAACCTTGTCTTCAGCTCCAATTCAATTCAGTTAAATTCAACAAGGATTCATTAAGCCCCTTGAGGATTTATCAAGCAGCCAGGTGGGCAGTCAATAGAAGGCTGGGCCTGGAGTCAGGAAGAACTGAGTTCAAATCCAGCCTCAGACACTTACTAGCTGTGTGACCCTGGGCAAGTCACTTAACATCTGTGTGCCTCAGTTTCCTCACCTGAAAAATGGGGATCATAACAGCACCTACCTCCCAAGGTTGTCATGAGGATCAAATGAGATCATATTTGTGTAAGCGCTTACACAGTGTTGGGCACGTAGTAGGTGCTATATAAATTCTAGCGGCTATTAATTCTGATTAATATTTATATTCCCATGTGCAAAGGAAGCAACATGGAGCAGCAGATAGATGGCCTGTTTGGAAGTCAGGAAGATCTGGGTTCAAGCCCTGCTTCCTACAGGTACTGGCTGTGACCCTGGGCAAGTCATTTGATCATTCAATGCCCCCAGTAACTCTCTAGGACTCCAAGGTGCAGACTAGTTTCTGTTCTGCATGGGAGACCAGGAGGTCGGACATGGGATAGGCCTTGAAGGAGCAGGTAGGGTTTGAAGAGCCCACTCTACACAAGAAGTTTACTTTGGGTATGCTGTTAGCCAAAGGCCAGAGGCAGAATGGAGTCTGACTGCAGAAAAGGGTGCCTGTAGGGAATCTGAGGGAATTCAGGTTGGAGAATGAGGTAAAGGATAGATTCTCAGGATCCTAGAAGCCAGACTTCGGAGTCTGGAGCTGCCCTGGCCTCCTGGTCTGCCTGTGTGTGCTATCATCAGATTCCCCCCCCAGGGATGACAGTCGGTTTGGCCAGGAGTGAATAAAACAGGAAACCCCTCCCCCGCCCCCCGCAGGCCCAGAGGTGGTGGTTGGTAGGGTGGTGGGGGGAAGCTGTGAAATCACAGTGGAGCTGGGAAGGGGGTGTGGAGAGGGTGGGGTAGTGGGTAGGAGGACAGTAATGACAACATTTCTCAGAATTTACAATTGTGAGCTGGCCGGGGGAGGGAGTGACGTGGCTCTTTGAGGCCTGGGGCCCATGTGGGTCGCCAGGGGAGGTCCCACTCTTCTAATTAGGCAAGCTCCCTCTTTGGGCTTTCTAATCTTTTCCCCACCCCTATTGAGCCCCAGGACCCATCTCTGGCCCCTGACTCTCCCCTTATTCCTATCCCTGACCCAGCTCTACTTCCAGGACCTGGGTCCAGCCCTTTTCCTAGCCCCTAGTGTGACTGCGCCCTGAATTCAGGGCTGTGACTGACTTTGGGGAACTGGATGGGGGAGGACTCCTCGGGGATAAAGATAAAGATAGACCAAGTCTCATCTGTCAAGAGGACGGGGAGGGGAAGGAAGGAGGTGAAGGAGGTCACAGAACCCTGGCCTCCCGAAGACATTCCTATGGGTGTGCTTGTATGTGTACCCAAGGGGCAGCCCCCATGCGTGCCCCCACGTACACGCAGAGCAGCAGGTATCCCCTGTGATAAATACATACACACATACTAAAAACTGATCTAGAAATACACACCCAAACATGTGAAACACTCCTAGGGGTATACCTATTGTATATATACCACATATATATATAGTTGTATATATACAAGTATGCACAGGGACCAACAGTGTGATAGTAAATGTTTAACAACTGGCTCTCCAAGAGTTCCAGGCACACTTGGAGATTTAATTTGCATTATTAACATTTTCTCTATTTGCTTAAATCTGAACAATCAATAAAGCAACAAATCCGGCCCTTCTTTAGGGCCTTTGCCTATTTCATAGATGTAAATACTCATGATGAAACATTTAACAACCGGCTCAGTAGGAGCTGTCTCCAGTACACCTGTAACATGGACACATTCACAAGCACGTATAAATGTGCACATATAAGGCATGAATGTAAACACACATACATACATACTTACATACATACACGTGGATAATTAGGCAAAACCAAGCACATCATTTAGAGCTGGGAGAGGAAGAAAGAAGACAGATTTCAGCCCTTCCTTTTACTGAGGCCCTGGGAGGGAAAGAGACTTGTAAGATTCTGATTTTGGTGGTAGAGGTGATAGGCTTGGCTGCTGATTCCCTCTGGGGAGGGAGGGAGAATGCAGAGATGACTTTGATGGCTGAGAGTCTCTTACTGTTCACCTTTGGTCATTAGTACAAACCCAGGCCTTGAGCACAGACACATTGAGCCAAGGACCACCTGGGGCAAATGAGAAGCTGTGGTTCCCTCTACACTCTCCCTAGCCTTTCAGCCAACTACTTTTCTCCAGCCCCCTCCTCTTCTGTCCTTCTCCTCTCCGGGCAGAAGCATCTGGGGCTCTGGGATCATCACCCTGCCCTTGTCACTGAGCTAAGTTGGGGAAGGCTGGGTTCTGGGCTCTGGGCTGTAGACTCTAGATGGCCAGAACTCTTGGCTCCACATTCTAGATTTAGCTTTGGTTCTAGACTGGGTTCTGGGTTCTGAGCTCTGGGCTCTGGTCACTGGGCTGGGCTGGGCTTTTGCCTGAGCCTCAGGCAACCTTAGCAAGCAGAAATCAGACAAGATCAGATGGGGCTGAGGGAGACAGTCCCAAGGGGTTCCTGAGGACCCAGCTCACACTTGATAGACCTGGTAGTTCAGTTGAATTAAAATAATAAGAACTCTCTCCCTGCCTCAGAATTGCCTCCCTAGGTCCCCAGCAGCATTCTAGCTTTTTTCCTCAAAGATGGACTAAAAAATCTTCCTCAGAACCCTTGGGGTCCCCCCACCCCAACACATACACTTGGAAGTGGGGTGGGGAGATGGTTCTGCTGAAAACCACAGCTCTCATTTCTAGCCTGAGTTCTGACTCA